AAACAGGAGATAATTAAGAAAAAAAAATATGTAGTTGATATTGCCATGGGATCTACAATATCTCTGACCAAATTATTTCCCAGTGCACTATTTCTAAATCTCACCAAATCTCTGGAGGAAACTAACATTCTTCAGGAAGCCCCCAAAAGCCCAGACTGTCACTTTTGATGCTCCAAATTGATTTTATAGATTTACCTCCAGCTTTAAGCTTTTCTCACTATTTGGTTATTGTTTCTACGATTAATGAATAGACGGAATGCTATCTAACTAGGTATGTTGATATTACAACAGTGGTAAAGAAATTAGTAGCTGAGATTATTCCTTGTTTTGGTTTTGAGTCAGATGAAAGGACTGATTTCACAACAGAAATAAACTGCTTGCTTGCCAAGGCTCTGGAGTACTCATTAAAATTTCATACCCCATATAATCCCCAATTCTCAGGGCAAGTGGAGCATAAAAATCTAAGAAATAAAAATGACTTTGGGAAAAGTCTGTCAAGACACTGGACTTAAATGGCCAGAAGCATTTACCTTTGGCCCTTATAAAAATCTGGAATGCTTCAATTAGGAAACATGGTTTAACCCCTTTTGAAATAGCGTTTTGTCATCCCATGCCTATTGACACCTTTAAACCTTCTATTCTTGGGCTGACTGAACACCATGGGGATTTAAGTGAACAATTCAGTACCATGACTAGCTACATATAGGAGCTAACTAATATGCTTATAGTATATCATTGACAGTTGAAAGGAGCATGGCCTCCACCAACTGAGAATATTGCCACCCTGTTTGAAGAAGAGATCATGTGTACATCAAAGTTTTTATAGTATTGTTAACCACTTACACTGCCATAAAAATAAAAGAAAAATCTTTGTATATTCATGCGAACCACACCAAACTACACTGAGACAATTGAAGGACAACTTACTATAGGTGACCTGAAGGTGAAGATTTCTAGAGCCTGTTCCCAGGCCCCTGAAGTAGACAGCTTTTCCCAGATCACATATCAAGAAACCCTATTTTTTAAATCCAGAGACTCCTGTTTTCCTTTTTATCTCCCCTTTCAAATAAAAGTTCTTTTTAAACACACATCTTTTTTTAGCCTTCCCTTCAAAATTGCACATGGAAGCTCAGTGGAGATCATCTCAACGTACCTCATTCTCTCTTTCAACTTCCACTGTGACTCTTCTTCAAACTATGCCTTGTTCTTACTAACCCTGTTTTTCCAGCGATCAGACACAGACCTGAATCCTTTTGCACCAGTCTTCAAACCCTGGCCTGCTAACTAATCAATGTAATTTTGGTTATCCAACATCTAGACCACACAAAGGACCCAAACTCATTTTTGTTTTGCCAATGTGAGTGCCAATGGAACTAGTCTGGTTGTATGACAAGATGTTACATCCACAGCCAAGAAAACATCATGCTTCTTCTGTTAGTGAGTCACTAGACACAGAAAAGCTCTTTGGAAGCCTAAAAACTTCTCTTGTCAGATAAGTCACTGGAAGATGTGTATATTTCTGGGTGACATATTAGACATTGTGATCAAAACTCTATGGTTAATTCACCAGATGATATTCTTGCACTTTTAGATGGTGCTGACACTAACCTCATGATTCAATGGTTGTCAAATCACCAGAGTTATGCACAGCTCACAAGCCAGGTCTGTGCAACTTGGGGTGTTACAAAGTTTGGCACTTGTCCAAGACCCACATTAGAGAATAAAACAGTTTTGAGGAGAAGCAAATGAAGTTTATCAATTGCCGGCAAAGAAAGTTTGAGACAGACCTGTCTCAAAGTACCAATGTCCTCATTCTGAGGAGAAGTACAGAGCTTTTAAAGTTCTAATTTATTCCATAACCCCACTCTGGCTAAGACAATCTCATGATCTTCACCTGGACAAGTCCCTGAGCCATCTCCTATGGCACAGAAAACAAAAGACATTCTGCTGCCCCTCCCAACCACTGGCCCGAGAACCACACCTACATAGGAATCTGGAATCCATGTTTTAATTCTCAAAAAGGGTAAGGGGTTTTGAAGAGACAGAAAATATTTTTACCCTTTTCCTTTTTTTGGCTATTTTCTCTGTTACAGGGGTAGTTCTCTTGCTCCCAATGTTAAGTTGCCAGACACTAAAGATTGTATATGGACAGACCACAAGTCTGGACTTAGTTAAATAACAAAATCAAACCCTATAACTGCCAGAACTAGACCAAAGGCCTTTTATATCCAATATTTTCACAACCTGTTCTGTTCCCACAGAGTGGCACAGACACATGGAAACTGGAGATATAGAAGTGCCAGTGAGGAAGACGAGGCATACCAAACTCCAGAGTGGGAGGTCACAGGTTCTAACCTCACCCTATCTGTAAATTGCACTGGTCTTTTTATTGTGTGTGGCAATAAAGTATACAAGTGGTTCACACCCAGAGGGTCAGGAGGGACACAATGGACTTGGTTATTGGACACCTTTTGTTACCAGGTACTCCACTTTAAATACCAGTCAAATTTCAAACTTGGGCTCTTTTGTTCATAGTGTTATCACACAAATGTACTTGATAAGAGTATTATTAAAAAACCACTTGTATATCACAGTTTTAAGTTCTTTTTAGTGCTTAGGACTCTTCATGGCATTTGGAAATCATGAAATTGAAAAGACAGTTTTGAATCTTTCCATGGTGGTAGAACAATGGTTCGATATCACTGTGTAAGCAATTGGAGCACTTCAGTTAGAAGTCAACAGCCTAGCCTCTATTATTAAGTGTGAAACATCTGATTTCCTTAAGTACTAAGTTTGACAGTTGATATCTCTGACATTTCACTTTAACACTTTTTTTTATTATTATTGTGAGGGTATAATGCATGGTTTAGTTTGTGATTATCTGTCAAATATTTTTTAGAGAATTTTTTTTGAAACCACGAATAAGCATGGGTAAGTCAAAAATTTCTGTTGTTTTCAAATATGAATTCTGTAGTGGAACCAATGCAGATTAGACAGCTTGAAATATCAACAAAGCGTTTGGGAAGGATATGGATATTGAACTCACAGTATGACGATAGTTTGAGAAGTTCAATTCTGGTGATTTTAATCTTGAAAATGAGCCACATGGGTGACCTGAGATCAAGGTGGATAATGATGAGCTGAAAGCCATAGTGGTAGTGAATCCATCTCAACCTACCTGTGAATTAGCAGCAAGGTTTGATGTTACTATTCCAACAATATTGGACCATTTGAAACAAATGAGTAAGATAAAGAAGCTGGATTAATGGGTTCTACATGAATTAAAGAGCATCAGAAGAGAAATTATTTTGAAGCTTGCCTTTTTTGCTGTCAGGACATAAACACCATATGGTTATGTGTGATGAAAAATGGATTTTTTTTTTGATAATTTAAAGTAATTGGCACAAAGATTGGATAAAGATAATGTGCTGAAACACAGTCCAGAAACGAATATTCAATAAAAAAAAGCCAATGGTGTCTGTTTGATGGTCCAGCACTGGTATTACCCACTATAGCTTCATGAAACTGGGTCAATTGATTACAGTGGATGTCTACTGTAAACAATTGGATGAACTGATGAGAATGCTTTGGATTAAGAGCTGAGATTGGTCAATAAAGACAGGCCAATTCTCCTTCATGATAACACTTGACCACATGTGGTACAAACTACACTGCTCAGACTACAGAAGCTGGATTTGGGAACTCTGAATGAATGACTCTCTGTCATTCATCATATTCACCAGACCTTGCACTAACTGACTACCACTTCTTGCAAGGAAAAATATTCAATTCTCAGCAAGCCATGAAAAAATGCCTCTTGCAATTTCATTTCCAGTCACTCTTCAGGCTTTTTCACTGCTGGCATAAACAAGCTACTGTTAAAATGGCAAAACTGTGTCAATAGTTTAGGTGCATACTTTGATTAATTGTACTGCTTCTTGTTTGAGATATAATAAGCTACATTTTTGATTAAAAATTGGACATTTCATATTTAATGACCTATATTTGTATTTGAAAATCTCTATGTCCTAGAAGCTCTGACAGCCCAATGGGGAGAAGCTTGCAGGATTATTGGCCAAAAAAAAAAAAATGTTGTTTCTACATAAATAGGGCAAGTAGAAACTGATCTACACCTCTTAAAAGACAAGGTAAATATTCTCCAAGACCAATTCCCAGGAATGGAAGACTGGTTTAATGAGGTGTGAGAACATTCTAAGGAATGGATTTTCAAATGATGTAATAACATGCTGGACTTTCTCAAGTAAAGATGTGACCAATTTCAGTGTTGTTTTTCTTTTATACAACCATTTTGTCCTCTTTTTTTAAATCTCACATTACTGAGTCCTGTACATCATATACTCTAATGCTGGCTTACAGAGTTTCAAATAAGTATTCCTGTATATACATCTGATACTGTTTTACAAAAGTAAAATCAAATTAAGGCAAAACATATCACACTATAAAATCATATCGATATGGCTAGACAAATAAAAAAAAGTAACCCATCTATCGCTAAGCTCCATGGAGTATTCAGATACATAAAAATGTTTGGAAAATATTTGTCCTTTATGAGATCACTTAATAAATTATTATTTTGATGTAAAATCAGAAAACTGCCCAGGAAAATTCTATTTCATTGATTGAATCAAACATTTAACAAAATAGTCAAATCTATTTCCAATTATTTGAAAGGCTTTAATTCTGTAGAAATATACATTTTACCATACAACACAAACATCATTATATAAAAGTCATATTTTGTTGACTCTATTGGCAGGATATTTTTGTAAAACAAACTATTTTAATGTATAATTAATCTTTCCCTGTGTGATAGTAGCAGTTGATTACAGGTAGCAATCTTCTCTCTTTTTTTACTTCAATAGAGGCTTTATTTAGTTTTCTTTGTCACTGGTGTAATGTAATGTCATCATTATGACAAATGTCACCAATATCCCATTATCCTTGGAATGCTGAAGCATGAATCTCTTTTATGACTGTTACTACAAGGAGAGGTCTAGCTTCTAAGAATGTGCTGTCCAGAGACGATTTGAGAAGTTTCTATGTGATCCAGGATAAGGTACCAGCCCCTGTGCATCTTCCCTGTATTTTATTTCTAAATGTGATGAATGTGGTTGTCTAGCAAAGCTAACCTGTGTTTAAACAGCCAACTTCAGTTTCCAAAGATGAGGATAGAAGTTCAGTGTCTACCTGTTTTTCCCTGATAGTGGGAGTGACCCTAGATTGTTTGCCTTGCCTTTAGAGATAAATGCTTCAGCTGTAGTAGCAGTGGTCAGGTGGAAGATATGAAAAAAAAAAAAAAGAAAAGTTTAAAAATCTGAAACAATATTAGCTCAATTGTGCTAACAACATCAAGGGGGAATTCTCTTCCAAAGAAAGTATTTGTTCTTGCTGTTTTGTCTAAAGCAAAAATAAACACACAGACAAAACACACAAAATTATATAAAAATTTTAGAAATATATAGTATGTTCATTTTATAAAGGAATAAGTCCAGTAAGAATAAACAAGTCTTAGATCCTGTGTTGAAATTTATGACTCTCTTTATCTAACTGAAGTGCAATTGATTGGAACTGTCATGCAGATAGAGATTACTAAGTGGCTTGGGTTGACCAAATGGATTGTACCTTGCTAGTGAAATTATCAGTAATTCAATTTATTTATTTCACGAATATAAAAATAGATAATAATTGTTTTTGCTGTATGTATTCAATGAAGAGTTAATATACTAGAACTGGTAGAAAACAAGTTTGGCTAAATATTGAACTTTTAATAATCTTTTGGGTGACCATCTATGTTACCTAGGACATATTACTGAAAGTGTGATTCACAAAGCTGTAGAAACAGCATCTCGTGGGAGCTTGTTAAAAATGCACATTCTCTGGTCTACCCCCGACATACTGAATTGGAATTTCTGGGGATGGGGCTGAGAAATCAGTGCTTTAAAAACCCTTCTAGATGATTCTTATGCTTGTAAATGAGAACTGACCTAAGAGTTAGGTAGAAGGAATATTTGAGAATAGGACTTAATTTTTACCTGGGCAGCTGATGTATCTAGGAACCATATGATGAACAAGTTAGAGAAGAAAACAATGGGACTCAGATAAGAAGTGAATGACTATGTGGAATGATAGAATAAAATCAAAATATGGACTCCAAGGGAAACATTTCTTCATAAGTTGATGTTTTCAGTTATTCATATATCTTGTAGATTAACTACACAGTTATAAAAGTTATAAAATGGAGCCAACTAGTCTTCAGAATAGACAATATGCTCTGTCTAGATAAATTGCTCAAATCTCTCTAAAATATATTTTTGGAGATTTCTTATGCTTTAATGCTGTGTTTTCTATCAGTTTACAGTAGGGATGGCAGTACATGTACTTATATTTTATATAAATAATATAATATGAAATATTACTTATATAATATTTTTATTAATATTTAATTGTATTACTTATTAACATTTAATATTATATACTTATGCATTTTTAAAATGTAGTGAATAAATTTTTCAATTAGCAATTGGGATACATTGTTAATGTCATGTAAGCTTTTTGAAAGTTTATGGGAACAGTGAGACAGAATACTTGATAATGGGAATCATCCTGGAAAACTGGCAAGTTATTGACAATGAAGCACACTGCCTTGATATGAAATGACCAGTTTAAAATAATAGTGATTAAATTGGTGATAAGCCACTCTATTAGATAAAAAATCTTTATTACTTTTATTATTTAAGTCTGTGATATTAAATTTAAAAAAATACATTTTAAAAAGTTAAAAAAAATTAAAAACTAGATTTAAGGGAAGAGATTATGTTTAAAGATGTTTTCATTATTATCTCATTTCAAGAAAACAATATATCGTTTTTAAAGTTGGAAAGATACTAATCAATCCCTCCTACCATAAAGACTAAAGAACTGAAATCCGGACACTGCAAGTGGCTTGCACATGGCCACGGACAAATGAGCGGCAGACTAAACTCTAACCTAAGTCTTCAGGGACCAGTGCTATAACCATTTCACAGTGCTATTTTTGTTCTTCTTCCAATTTCCTGGTGTTTTAAATTTTCGTTTCAACTCTAAAATTATGTGCAGCTATGAGTCTACCTATTTATTTACATGAAAAGGCACCCAAGTAAGTGAAGGAAAACTGTAGGTATTAACAAAGCTATGTATATCCTTTGGTTAAGATGAAAATTACATGTAAGAAAACTCCAAAACAATAAAAAAAAATTAATTAAAACCCTTGATTTAAGTCCATACTTACCAGCAGAGATTCACTGGTCTTGTTAATTAAGATTGGCTTTTTGATCATTTCCCTTCTACTTAGGCCAGCAGCCTGAGAGAATAAGCTAGGGGCTGCTATGACAGTGCTTTCAGGATTCATGAGTTTTCTTGTCACACTGAATTTCCCTAAATACATAGCATACCCCTTATTTAAATTGTCACCAGTTCTGTGGCTTATTATATGCATTTTGTGGTAAAAAATCCACTTTATATTAATAGTCTTTCCTTGATGTTCTCTATAGAAAACATTAAGTATGTGTGTAAAAGTTATTCCATTTCCTTTGAAATTATAACTTGAAAAGCATCACTATAATCTTAACCATTACTACTTTCGTAAGGAATATTTTAAGCTACCTTCTAATAAATTGAAGGAATTTTAGTTGCTTACAAGCACAGATATCAATAGATTAATTAAATGGGCAATAATGCAACACATTTTTTTAAAAAATGCATTTGCTCATTTCATCACATAAATAGAATTATACAATCATTCTGTTAAAACCAAATCTTTTTAGTTTAGGAATGATTTTATGAGGCTCTTAGGATCCATTGAGAAATGCACTATCGTGTAGGCCTGCTATAAAAGTTGATGCACTTTAGACATGAGGGGAAATATTTGTTTTTGCTTTCAATATAGTGATGGAAGACTAGCTAGTTATGAAGATTTGGGAAGGGGATTCTGATATCCTTGTGATTGGCTTCATTTTATTATGTAATTCCTCAAACCCTATAGTTTTTCCATTTTGTATTTGTCTTACACAGATATCTCAGCTTTGACTTCAAAAAAGAAAGTTAGTTCTTTAATAGGTAGCCAATAAATGGCCAAGAGGTGAACATCAAACATAGTTCCTGCCCTCAGTCTTAAATGGTGGGCATTAAATAAGTTAGTAGTGTAAGTAGATGAGAGTCAGGATAATGGAAACAGAGTTCTGTTCTCTCTAGATTTTTCCCCCATCTCAATAAATGCATCACAAGCTATGATGTCCTTAGGAAAGAAATCTCAAAATCTCTTTGTCCTTGGTTTTCATCACCACTGTTACCATTCCCACCTCCAATCCTTCAGCCAGTCCTATCAGTTCTACCTCCAAGCTCTGATCTGTGGTTGTTCTCCATTTCTAGTCCAACACAGAATCATATAATATTTTCTTAGGACTAGTGCAAATTTTTCGCAAAGTGTCTTCTCATTTCTATGCTTCTTGCATTCTTATCTATGATCCACAAAGATCACTGCCAGTTAATTTTTGCCTAAAATCTTTCAGTGATTCCTTTTGCAATCAAATTGCAATCCACACTTCTGTGAATGATTTACAAAGCCTGCATAAATTGCAGCCTTTTTTCCCAAATCCCTTTCACATCATTCCACCGTTTGTTCACTTTACTGCCACCACTGCTCTTGCCTTGACTTCCACCATGTCAAATTCTTTCATCTGAGTGCTTTGGGGCAGCTTTTCCCTAGTCTTTTTGGTGTCCTTTGTAAAATTGTCTCCCAAAGTCCGGAGCTTAGTTAGGTAAATTCTTGAAAACATATCACTCTTGGTTTCTTGGGTGTCTAATATATGAAAGTATAGAGAGAAAAAGAAAAGAATAGTTTGAAAGGAAACTGGAGAGGTAAGCAGGTTCAGCCACAAAGTCAATTTTGCAAGTGGACTTGACTTGAATATTGGGAGATCATTTCACGTGAAGCATAGTTCCCTTGATCACATTTGTAAGCGTGCTCATTTCTCTAGCAAAGTGTTAGTGTGATGCCTAACATGAGAGTAAGATCATCTTTTACATCAATTACCCAGAATAGGGTACGTAATTAGACAGAAAACTAAGAGAGGGCTGGTGAAGGAAGACTATTAGCTGTATCATTTTCGGCCTAAACATCCAGAAGACCAAGATAGAGATGTTTCAAGTGGTATTTACACTTAAAGAGGCTGTGGTCACATATGGCTTCCATGTGGAAGAGGACCATGAACCATAAGCAGGGACCTCCATATTATCCTATGTTAAGACAAGTGTCACCCAAGAAATGTGAAGATCACAAAAATAAGATTAACTTCTGAATATCTTACAAAAATAATTGTATCCACATAAAATACTATGATGTATTGCATCTTACTAAGTACTTATTTCTGATAGCATATATGTGAAGTAACATGGGCACTTTATAGTTAAGGACATCAAGGCTCAAATCTATTGAAATCTGTTGAAACATGACCAAGATTGCATAGCCATAAAACATTGAAATTTTGATGTTTGACGGCAAACACCATACTTTTCTAGTAACTTTTACTTCCTTTTAGCTATATTTGCTTTTTCTATATTTTGATTGCTCATTTTCCATAGAGAGTTTTTTTATGTAACATTTTGAGTATCTTACTGTAATGGTTTTATTGGAAAACAGTGAATAGAAAAGCAGTTAATTGTTATATATCTGAAGTGTTATGTGGAATATATATTTTATATAGTGTTATGTGTGTACATATACACACACACATATATATAATCATTGACCCACTTATTTTCTTCTTTTCCTGATATTCTTATCTTCCCATGCTGTTATATTAAGCGTATGCTAGCCTAGAAATTTTATAACTCTGTTTCATGCACTATTAAGGGAATCATTTATTGGATGATTGATACTGAGCTTGTGTGTTTTTCTGCATATCAATATCTGACTGCCTGTATTGGCTGATTTTCCCAGGCAACTTTACTCTTTCTCTTTATTTAAATCCCAGTCAATTCTTAACCATATCTCATTTATAGAATTATGTCTGTGTAGTT